AGAGTTTTTCAACAATAGCTGGTAGAAATTTATTGGTGTGAATGAAAAATGCTTTATGTGGTTGATTTTTTCACCTATGTAGCCCATTGAACAGTCTTGTGACTATGTTTATGAGGTTTTTCAGTGCATTGATTTTTTTGTGTGGTGTCTTGAGTGGAATTCCAGGGGTGTGTGTGTGTGTGTGTGTGTTTTTGTATATTATTTTTTTAATCACCAATCAAATAAAGGGTACGAATGCACAAATATTTTGTATTTCTGTCTCAATAGCTAAAAATAAAAGAGGCAAGGCTAGGATTGAATTGGCATGTTGCTGGAAAAGGAAATTTTATATTTCTTTTGTGTATTGCCAGTTTTATACGGTATAGTTTTGGTTTCCTGAACACGCATCAGTGGTTAAAGGATGCCTGCCAAGCAACACAGAACACCGGATGACAACTGAAGTTGAGTGAAATGATTAAGAAATCTTAACATGTATTTTTAATCACTAATCAAATAAAGTTAACCAAGCTATAAATATTTTGTATTCCTGTCTTAAAAGCTAAAAATAAAAGAAGCATGGCCAGGCTTGAACCAGTGACTTACGATCTGAAGGCATGCCAGATCCTCTATGCAAAAACTCTGAATATTATACAACACCTTAACTTTTGCAACAAAAATTAATTTCTGAGCAACAATTTCACCATACATGTAAATTATTGTCTAGAACTGTAATGGCAAAATTATTTTGAGAAACTTTGGGGAAAAGAAAGAACTGCAGATACTTGAGAATCACATATTAGAGAGGTATGAATAATCGAGGCATTAGTGTACCTATTATGAAAGGGTTAAAAAGTTACTTAACCTAACCTACTATAAAGAACATCCTTTTTAATGAAACAAAACTTAATATAGTAGAGTAAAAACGATCTTAAGCTGATCACATTTTATTCCAAGAAAAACATTATATTTTATCAAACTGCATCATCATAATTCAACTAATATATAAAATGACAGAGCAAACTTTAAAAAAAATCAGGACTGTATTGGTGGCTTTACAACTATCTTCTTTCTTAGTAGCTTGTCACAAAACTATGCTGTATGCACTTTGTTCTGATCTCCATGTAAGTCTTCACATAAATGGAAGTCACAATGGCTTGTACAGTTGAAAAGAACAGAGAAATAACTTTTGTTTAGCTAACTAATCTACGATTTCTCACGGCTGAGAATTAAGCAATTGCATAACATCACAGCAACCAAGGTTACAAAACAATGGATGGCTAAAGTCAATAAAAATAGACTTGTACTGAAGTTAAAATTATTTCTGTTTTTCAAAACTACCTTGACTTTCATCTGAGGAGGTTCAGAGTGCTGTAATATTATAATCTTATGTATAAAATTAAACAAATAAAATTTTTATTGACTACATTTCAGTTGTTAAGTATTGAAAAACTGTAGATGAATAATTACAAGCTAATTTTTAGTGATTTTTTTAAATTTAATGATGCAATTTTGTCTTTGGGGTAAGGTATCTGTGGTGTAAGTAAAGTATATCAAGTTTTTGTTATTAATATTTGCTAAATTCTTTTAACTCTCAAACTCATGTAAATGATCAAGAGAAAAATACCTGCTCCTTCAGAACTGTACTTGTAGTAAGGAGTTGGTAGCTTGGGGATCACATGGGAAAGTTCTTCTGGCAACAATTCAACCAACCTCTGCTGATAGGAAAGCCTGTTGAAACAATAAGTCTTATTTTATTAACTCTTTCAGAATGGGCTTGGTCCCTGAGACCGATCTCATAACCATTTTGTGCTTGTTATGGTTTTCATGCTATAACTTTTAAATGTAGTAAGCGAATGTTAACGAAATTTGGCAGATTATGAATAAACATTACAATGCTTTCATATGCAAAATATCAAATTTTTTTAAATCTTAAGGTTTATAAAGCAGTGTTTTTCTCATATCCATTTTTTCTTTTGCATGTTGCCTATCTATCATGAAAAGTAATATTCATTT